CAAAGTCTTTATTTTCCACCTTTATATTCATTTCAAACATAATACAGTCATGGTTTTCACATACTATCTTAAATACTATACCAAAAAAAATTAACCAAAAAGGAGCCTCTGGGATGGATTAATACAGGAAGATTTTGATTCTATATGATTATTGCAAGTTTTTTTTAATAGAACAGAAAATTAAATGTGAGGAAGTAGGGAGACGGGTGATGGTAATTTAATGTATGCACCTTAGATAGTCTATGGATCGAGCCAGAACCCCACATAAATGTAGGGGAATCAGTCAGGAATGGTGGCTTATGCCTGTTACCTCAGCTACTCAAGAGGCTAAAGTGGGAAGATTGCTCATTCGAGACCAGCCTCAGTAACTGAGCAAGGTCCTGTCTCTAAAAAGTTGGAAAATCAGATGCTGGGGAATCAGGTTCCAGATTCCAGCCTCAGTTTTGAGGACTAACACTAACTAGATACTTAATTTTGGAAATGCCTCTGGGCCTCAGTATTTTCATTTTTAAAATGAGAATATGGCAACCATCAGTTCTCAATGTTTTTTCAGCCTCTGTATCCTTTGTTCCAAAGAAGTTTTACATGTCAGGGGTGAGGAGGAAAGATGTGGGGGCAGTAGGGAGGGTGTCTCACCCTTCCTCGGTCAGAATGGTTTTTATAAATATTGAATTTTCGTTGGAGGTAGACTTCTTTTAAACAAATGGTTCTGTAAATAAAATATATTAGAAAATAGATCTAGCCCAAATTGCTCCTTCATGTGCCATTTTAAAGATGAGGAAATAGTACCCCTTTGTGCAGCAGGCTTAGCCTTTTTCTGTGCCTATCATCAGCTTTTGTATTCTGATGCAACCTCCCATTCCCCATAGTAGTGCCCCCTTCCAATCTGCCCTACTCTCATAGGCCCTACTTTGTGGGGAATGAGGAATTCAAGCTGAAGAACTACAGGAAATTGTGATTTCAAGCTCACAAGTGGATGATAATGATCACCAAGTGAAAAATGCAGAGATAACAACTTGATTCTAAATCCCTATCTATGTTAATATTTTAGGTGATGAGGAGGGAGGATAAGGAAAAACACACTCTCCAAACTATGCTGTATTATATACATCTTGTAGGACACAAGGGTTCAATTCAAAAAGCTACTCTTAAAAAATAAATGGTATGTTGTTTCCTACAAGAACTACTGTCTAGAGCTTTATATCTGGGAAGTACTTCACTTGCTAGTGTAAAAATCTAAAAAAGAATGCAGTTCTAACAATGTTCTACTGCTTTCTGAAGAATTCTCTCTGTTCCTTCCATAACATACAAACAATTGAGAAGTTAATTAATCTCATATTCTGACTTAATTAATTAAAACATTTTATTCTTCCAGATCCTTGTCAAGATGTATATTAGAATTGCCAAAACTAAAAATAATAAACATTTTTCTATAATTGTCCAACAGTTTGCAATGCTTTAAAATATATTTTTGTTGATATGACAGCATAACATTTCCTCGTCACTGGAAATGTTGTCTTCTTGTTCCTGTTAATGATGTTACAAAACCAAGGTACTTATATTTTTGGATTTCATCATCAAAGAAATCTGTACTCTTATTAACATGAATCGTTTTCCTACTCAATATTGCATTCAAGTTTAGGAGATATGGCACACTTTAATAACTTGATGATTTTAGATCTTAGTAAACTTATTGTTTCCTCTACTCTATAAGGACATACCTAATTTAGGTTGAAAAGCATTTAGAGTGTAACTGTCTCACAGGTTTTTATCATTCACAAAATAGGTGTTGTTGTATAGATATGGTTCCTGTATCAGAGTTTGACCAGGGAAGCAGGACCACTCTGGGTGACATGAACAGGAACTTATTATAGGGATTATATCTTATAGTTGAAGGAAGGCTGGGAAGAGAATGATTCAGAAGGGGATGGCTAATGGATCAGAGAAGTCACTATGACCACAAAGGAAAGCTGGTGAAGAAGACTACAGAAGATTTTTGATATTAAAGAAAGTTATTCTGGGGGCTGGAGTTGTGGCTCAGTGGCAGAGTGCTTACCTAGTATGTGTGAGGCACTGGGTTGGAGTCTCAGTACCACATATAAATAAATAAAATAAAGGTCCATCAACAACTAATAAAAATATTTTTAAAAAAAGAAAGTTATTCTGACACTTGTTGAAGATAGCAAGGAAGATCTTATTGAAGAAGGGACTACTGCAAACAGAATTTTTTGAAGGGGAAAAAGATTAAGCTCAACTATAAATACAAAAATACAAGTGGGGATTTATAGTCAAGAAGCATCATATGAATGAATGAAAAAATACTATGAGGAAACACTGGGGTATGGCAATGCTGGATAAAACATTCTGATAGGATTCTTGCTGAATGCAGGTCAAGGTGATGAGGCACCAAGAGTGAGGATTTAGCAGGATTTTTGCTAAAACTGAACTAAGTGGGCCAAGGACAGAGGGCCTGGTCAAGAAAAGGGCTTAGAGAAACCTGACTTCAGTTTGATCAAAGTAGACTCTTTGTTATTGATTTTGCATCCAGTGATGGGTTTAAGGTTGTTATACATCTATATGGCAGATAATTGGGAAGAAAAGATGCAAAACAGGGAGAGCAAGGACAAACCTGACAGCCAGTACCTGTGTTGTCTGTTTCTCATCATTTCAAACCTAGATGATATGGACAACCCAATGAAGCTGGGCCCCCCCATCTACCACCCCCAAACAGCACATACCCCTGAGTTAAAACTTCAGTGAAGTTAAAAGACAAGGTCTGGCAAAAATTGGAGGAGCACCTGCTCTCTGCCACACATACACACACAACAGAACCAAAAAATTTTTGACAAGTGTGAGCTATACTTGGGACCCTGAACTAACCTTCCAAATGTAAGTTTCTGCTTGATTACTCTGTCTCCCAAATCTTAGGTAAATTCCTCTTATGACCAGCCCTAACTGGAACCATGCAGAGGAGAGAATTCTGAGAAATGCAATTCTACTATCACTAAATTGGCACAGAATAAAATCACCACAATATCTAGAAGTTACTTCATATGAATTGATCCTAAAACAAACTTAAGCCTCTGAGATAACACATTCAATAATAAATCCTATCACAACACTGATCTAATTACTGTATTCATTTGCAATTTTTCCTCCAACTTTTCTAATACAAGAAACACTGCTACCAGCAGAGGTACCTATTTCACTCCTACTAAAAATAAATATAAATTTAATTCAATGCATTATCACTAACCAAGCAAATTTTTAAATGGAAATTCAATTAATACTTTCCTATTTCCATCCAATTGCCTTTCATCATCTCAGCTTTCCTCATACTAGCTTCTTTTTACTTCCCCTAACTAAAAATATTTGAACTCTGAACATGAGGTTCTTTTACTCCTTCCTGCAATGTGGCTTTTATTAATGAATGCCAAGTCCATCTGTCAGGTTGCATAAATCTGAACTGTAATTATGAATGTGAATTGAGTTCAAGTTCTTTCCCACAGTTTTTTTAGGCCTCATGTAAGTTGGGATATGAGTTATGTCATCTAATTCTACATCTTTGCAAACCCAGCTCTGCTCTGAGTACACTCTTGGAGTCCCTGCAGATGTCTCAGCTCTCATCAGAAAATTCCTCCAGGGAGAGAGTAACAAGCTCAGCTTTGCCTGAAGCCTTTCTTGGCCCCCAGAGACACTTTTCTACACAATACTGACACTGGGCCCCAAGAGTAGTATATTTTCTCCCACTTGCCAGAAGTTTTAAGAGTACATCTGAGCACCAAGCATATTAAATGGAATCTTCTGGAAAGTAGTGCTTTTCAACTATATTCCCCTCCTCTGAGAACTTCCGGTTTAGGATGACTTCACAGTAGTAGTGTCTACTATAAATTGACTAATTAATATATTATTATACTATGATAATGGTAAAAGGTTACCAGGCACTCGAGTGAAAAACCCAAGTTTTGGCTTTGGCATCACACTCGTCTATGGCTCACTACAGAAGGTATAACCTCACAGGATTATTGTAAAGTGTAAATGAGATAACAGATGTCTTCTCTGCACCCAAAATGACCCCCCAACAATCATCTTCCCACCTCTTTGGGATGAAAGCAGTTTACTTTTGTCACTATGTGGGTGACAGAGTACTTCCTGGCTGCTTTAGGGGCTGCCTCACAGTGCACAGAGCTCTGTTCCTTTCCATATAGGCCCTGCTGTAGATCTGCCTCACCAGGTCTCACTCTTATAGCGAGAAGGGGGCTCTTTCCACACTTAAGAAGAGGGTTTCGGGGATCTGGGATTGTGGCTCAGCAGTAGGGCACTTGCCTCACATGTGTGAGGCACTGGGTTCGATCCTCAGCACCACATAAAAATAAATAAACAAAATACAGGTATTGTGTCCATCTACAACAACAATTAAAAAAAAACATAGAAAAGGGTTTGGGGTTTTTTTCCTCCCTCATTCTCTTACAAGGCTCCCTTCTATCCCTCCCTGAAGTCCATACAGTTTTATATTGCTCAGGATTAGCAGGGTATCATTAAAATATGAATTAAAAAATATTACATCTTAGATGGCATGTTTATTAAAATGCTTCTCTCCTTCCCTCCAGGTCAAATTTTATTCATCCAGATTGATGATTTGCTTCTCTTTTTTTCTAAATGTACTCTTAAAGTAAGATCAACTATTTGACTTTCTTTTCCCTACTTTTTTCCTTAAGTTACTTTGAGTATTGTTTATAATAAAAAGTAAACACATAACCAAACTCAGCTTAATGAAAATTAAAGCTAATGTCTGTTATATCTACATTCAAATTACAGAGAAATAAGTATGTGGAAGCTATCTCCATCACCTGCAGCAGTTGCTAGGCTTATAAAATATGTTGTACATGCAGGTACTATGGAAGCCCAGTAGATTTCAGTTTCCTTCCCTCTCCTCCTTCCTATCACTGAGCAGACAAAAGTAAGTTTGGGTTTATAAGGGCATCTGATCAAATTACACATAATCAAAAACAACAACCTTTATTTTTAAACATTAAACTTATTACAGGCTGATCAAGAATGATCAAATATGATTTATTTAAATGTACAATATTTAAATTGATACTTTTTAAGTTGCAATAGTATTTCAGGAAGATGTTGCCTGTTTCAAATACTGAATAAGATCTTTTCTCTCACTCTTCTTTTTAAGACCAGCAAAGACCATTTTAGTTCCAGGGATATATTTCTTTGGGTTCTCCAAATATTCCATCAAAGTGTCTTCTCCCCAGACAACACCTATAAAATTGAAAATAAATTTTTAAGTTTGTATAGTTACATTTGCAGGGCTTGTTTTCTAATGTGATACACATGTGAGTAAAAGTTTATATTCTGACTGGACAGAAGACTTTTAAAAACTAAGAATATGTACAGATTCTGACTTAGAAAAACATTACAAAATTAGACTCCACTCTTTGCCTTCTCTATAGAAATCCATAGTCACAGTTATTTAGGATTATCCAAAATAAATCAATGAGCTATTACCCCACATACATTGTGCCTAAGTAGTAACTCATCCTCCTATAATCCCATGTCCTTTTAGAGAAGACCTTAAAGATCATTTAATCTAGTCTTTTATTATGCAGATGAGTAAATGATGATCCAAAGAGAAGAAAGTATTTTCCCTTAAAATGACAAGCCTGCTTGGAGTGAAGAATTTATAACTATTAACTTATATTTTCATGTTCTTTCATCAGTCAATCAAACCAAGTTCCTTTTGTCCATATTCCCATCAAAATCTGACTCAGAAATCCAGAATCAAGATGACAAGGAAGGTTGCCTTTTTCCCTTCTAAAACCAGTCAAAACATAGATAAAGAGAAACACTAATGCTAACTCTATTTTTGATAAAACTTTTCAGGAAACATCTATAACCCCAAACTTGATATAATTAGAAGACCACCAAGGATATGAAACATGGACCAAAGAAAGAAGACAATGTCACTAATGATCTAGGGTGAAGAAGAGAAGAGTTCTTCAAAGTAGGTGACACATCCTAAAGGGCAAAGTTATAACCCCATTTTGGTTCAGAAAGAATAGGGTGTATCAGTTGGACATAAAAGTTTCCTTAAATTCAGTTTGACATCATGGAGGTCAGGGGAGCCAGAATTAAAGAAAACAGAGACATTCCATCTTTGAAAGAAGGATCCCAACATGTTATAGGATAGGTTTTCAATTTTATAGGATAAAAGAGAAACTACAGGAGTTGCATAGTCCTCTGTCAGGTGAAAAAAAGGACCAAATAACACCATCACCAAAATATACCTACAAATACTCAAATATATATATATACACATCTCTAACATATAACTGTGGGGAAAGAAGAACTAACTGGTACACTCAGACCTTCACCCTTACTATACTTCCACAGACAATTAGTCCAAGAAGATCTGTTCTAATCAAAAGGTGAATAATAATCAAAAAAGAAACAGCGTAAGAATGTTGAAAGTACATATACATAACATGTATGCACAAACACATACCACATATAAATACAAATCAGATATGAATATTTAAAAAGTTAAAAGAAAAATACACATCAGAAATTATAGACATTAAGCAGATGAAAACCATAACTACATTCCCACAGTTTCAAAGAAACCATTTTAATTTAATGTGTACTATTTACTAATTTAATTTAATTTATAAATTAAAGGCTCAATGCAGAACTACAAAATGCTCAAGCAAAAAATGATAAAATAGAAAGATATAAAAGTGACAGCTAACTGAATAGGTGCTGCTGATGGCACAAATCGGCTTGAAAATATTGACAAAAAGAAAATGGAAATAATTAAGCATTTAAAATGATCACTTAGCTTTCAAATCAAAGGAAAAATGATACATATAGAAGACATTTAGACAAAGAAGATCGAAGATTCACACAAGGGATAGCCCAAGTATGATTTTTTAAAAAAATGGATAAAATACAATTATTAAAACATATAGTTTAAAATTTACATATTTTATTTATTTTTAAAATTTATTTATTCTAATCCATTATATATGACAGCAGAATGCATTTCAATTCATAGTACACATATAGAACACAGTTTTTCATGTCTCTGATTGTACACAAAGTAGAGTCACCTCACTCGTGTCTTCATACATGTACTTGGGGTAATGATGTCCATCTCATTTCACCATCTTTCCTACCCCTCTGTCCCCTCCTATATCCTCCCTCCTACCTAAAGTTCCTCCATTCCTCCCATGCTCCTCCACCCATCCCCATTATGTATCAGCATCCTCATATCTGAGAAAACATTTGGCATTTTTGGGGGAGGAGATTGCCTTACTTCACTTAGCATCATATTCTCCAACTCCATCCATTTACCTGCAAATGCCATGATTTTATTCTCTTTTAATGCTGAGTAATATTCCATTGTGTATATATACCACAGTTTCTTTATCCATTCATTTACTGAAGGGCATCTAAGTTGGTTCCACCATTAAGCTATTGTGAATTGTGCTGCTCTAAACATTGATGTGGCTATGTCCCTGTAGTATGCTGTTTTTATTTAAGCAATGCTTAAGATGTTTTATTAAGATAGATTATGCAGAATAATGGCAATAAACATGTCACAAAGTAAAGAAATGAAGAATGCATTATTATTGCTGTATGTATATACATGACTACATGACCAATGTGATTCTGCAACCTGTACACTCAGAAAAATGAGAAATTATAGTATGCTGTTTTTAAGTCCTTTGTGTATAAACCAAGGAGTGGGATAGCTGGGTCAAATGGTGATTCCATTCCAAGTTTTCCAAGGATTCTCCATAATGCTTTCCACATTGGTTGCACCAATTTGTAGTCCCACCAGCAACGTATGAGTGTACTTTTTCCCCACATCCTCGCCAACACTTACTGTTGTTTGTATTCTTAATAGCTGCCATTCTGACTGGAGTGGAATAAAATCTTAGAGTAGTTTTGATTTACATTTCTCTAATTGCTAGAGATGTTGAACATTTTTTCATATATTTTCATTCAGTGTATATCATCTTCTGAGAAGTGTTTGTTCAGGTCCTTGTTCCATTTATTGATTGGGTTATTATTTTTTTTTTTGGTGTTAAGATTTTTGAGTTCTTTATATATCCTAGAAATGAGTGTTCTATCTGATGTGCTTGTGGTAAAAATTTGCTCCCAAAATGTAGGCTCTCTATTCACCTCACTAATTGTTTCTTTAGCTTTTTAGTTTGGATACACCCCACTTACTGATTCTTGATTTTATTTCTTGCGCTACAAGAATCTTATTAAGGAAGTTGGGGCCTAATCTGACATGATGAAGATTTGGGCCTACTTTTTCTTCTATTAGGTGTATGGTCTCTGGTTTAATTCCTAGGTCCTTGATCCACTCTGAGTTGAGTTTTGTGCATGGTTAGAAATAGGTGCTTAATTCCATTTTGTTGCATATAGATTTCCAGTTTTCTTAGCACTATTTGTTGAAGAGGCTATATATGTTTCTCCAATATATGTTTTTGGTGCCTTTGGCTAATATGAAGTAACTGAATTTATGTGGGCTTGTTTCTGTGTCCTCTATTCTGTACCAGTGGTCTACAAGACTATTTTAGTAATCAGACTGCGGCGGAGGAGATAACTTCATTGAAACCTGCGGCTACAGGTGTGTAATT